AACTTTTGGCTGATGCTGGATCTAGACCCCTGGCTACTGACCGTGGTTGCACTTGCAGCAGATGGCCGGCGATGTTCCCCGTATTCCAACTCGGCGGGCTCGCTTGCGAATGTTCGTCCGGTCGTGGGGCGAAATGTAAATGATGCAGGCGAGGCTTCATGCTCCGAGTAATCATTATAAAAAGTACCACTGGTATCTGGCTGACCACTGCTGGGGGCTGTGGACCACGGGGCAATCGACTCGATCTCATCGGAGTCGATGCGAGATGGGTGAAGGGGTAAAGGTCGAGGACTAGAGACGGATGATTGAGACGGACTATGTCTGTTGCTTGGGACAGTCAAACTCTCGCGGTGATTGCTAAAGCTAGAAGCTTTGCGTTGTTCGGTGGGGGAAACACCCGGGGAATTCCATGACCACATGGAATTTTCCCAATCAATCCGAGGGGGTTTCGAGTCGGAGCTAGCCAAAAAAAAAATATATATCAGCACCTCTTAATTTTGAGCTTGGATTCGACGCGCTATGGTCGCATAGAGAGTCGGTGAGCCATTTGAAGAAACAGAAGCTTACCTGGAGTCCATTTTCAACGAACCCGGAAACGGGCCGGCATTGTGACCTCGCGTAGAGGCCTCGTATTGGCCCAAAGGCTGACTCTCCGAGTTTCGCACGGTATCTTGAGACCTCCAGCTGTGCCCAGAGCTCTCCGAACCCTGGCGGTTGTCAGGTAGGTTGCGATCCCGCGCCGGCATATCTGCTCTCAGACTCTGCCGAATGCCACCACGGCAACCCTAGTCAAGTTGCAGCCAGCTGTCTCTTGGGGTGTGGTGATATTTCAGAGCAGTCCAGCATTAAAAGAACCGATGATTAACGGATGGTGTGGGCGACCGGCGGAGCTGCAACGTGTGTTGATTCTGCTGTCTCGGGTACTGGCGCCACGCTGAGGCCGACCCGGCGACACGGTAGAGAGACTAATAGCTGGAAGAAACTCTGAAGGGCATTCGGTTTGAATTTGAGAGGCAAATAAGCGGGTTGGCAAGGGCGTGAAGGTGTTTGGGGGGCTAGCGGGGCGTGATAGAAGGCGTAAGAAAAGGTTCAGATGTAAGTGTAGCGTCGGGTCAAAATGGGGCGTATCAAAATGGGGCGTTATTTCATGAAGTGATCACGGTTAAGGGCAACCGGGGCGCATACAAGGCGGACGGGGTGATTATTTGAGGTCCAGGGTTGATTTGGGGGGGGGGGAAGAGGAAGAGTGGGGATGACTCGTGACAAAGGCGGATCAACGTAATGACGATCGAGAACAAAGCCAAGATCGATATAATGGAAAAAATAATTAAACGGAAGTTGAAGATGAGATTATAATAAGAAAAGAGGAACCCCATGTCGGATGTCGGTACTAGGTCGAAGTCATGAGGCTCATTAGCGCTACACTTTGCCCCAACACCTGGACACACCTACATTTTCACCCAGGTGAAATATATATGACTTGACTACTCCGTACGGGTAATTGAACTATTTTTCTTTCTATTTTTCTTTCTTCATTTCTTTGCTTGATGTATATATAGATATTCTTATTTTCATTGGACATGGTCCGTGACGCTGTCCGTGCTCAACAGGAAGAAGCTCCGTCTTTGTTCTACTTACTTCACTACAGTTCTATTTTTGCCTCTCATAAAGACATAAATCATCTACGCCATTCTTATATTGCTACTCTCTAGTATAGTGGAGTTATTGGCCCCGCCCCCCGGTGATTTCACCTTCGTAGGCTATGACAAAGAATCTCTGTAGCACCTAGGTTACTCGTATTTTTTATATATATATTTTCAAGGCTTCGCTGGAAGGCGACAGCTCAGATTGCCAAGGAATGTATTACTACGGTTACACGGCTCATTTCTCCCTTTGTTGCAACCAATTTACCTCGTGATATATCTACTACAGCCAGATACCTTGATTTGAACAACGTGATAAGTCATCGATTTTGACATTTGCGTATACCCCTAGTACTGTACATAATAGCTATGCCCACAGAACAGTCCTGAGATAGGCTCAGCAAATCAATTAGCATACACTGATCGATTCAAACCAAACACCCCCGAACTATCTCTGCTGACGACAACAGTAGCATGAACAAAAACAAAGCCTCTCATACAGTTCCGCTCTTATGCTTGAACTAAGCAGCCATAGTGCTAGTTAGTGATGTTCACTTTGTTAGAAATAACGTCGGGGCAGACATTCTTCACGATAATCTCATCAGGGGATGCTCTAAGCGCCCAGTTTCTGGACGAAAGCAGCAAGCGTTAATCCCACTTGCTGTCCTAGCAACGGCGGAAGGGCTAGAATGCTTGGTGTCGAAGTTGTGTCTATGACGGTCATCACGCTAGCTTTGCATAATATTTTCGGCGTGTGCTCGGTAAGACTGTAGTTCATGAGTGTGATTCAATGTAGGAGATCCTTTCCTACCAGTTTCCTTTGGATTGAATACAATAAGTGGGTCTAGCAATCCACTGTCCAGGTGGAAACTGAGGAACCCCGCAAATCTAGAGTGGAGCGTGTATATTCAAAGTCGAAACGGTTTGACCCGGCATCACAAACTATGTCAAGTTCGATCTAAATTCTATGTGCCAACACCTGATTTAACCACTGAGATCAAGCTATAGCTCGGTATTTACACAAGTCTTGGGGGAATTCGCGTTGAGCTCAGTGTCGGTTCGACCAGTAAGGGCCGCCTTGACCTTAGTCTCTTCGCTGATGGTGAGGTGACAATCACCCTTGGCCTGTATTACCACCGCTCACGACAATTATCTTTTCGACAAGACTGACACCCCACGAAAGGAACCAGGTCACCCATGGTGAAAAGATCAAGTGGAATGAGAAGGGCACCGTGCCAAGCGCCAACACACCCAACACATCTACTGGGTGTTTGGGCGCTTGGCACGGTTAGTGAAGGAAGAACAAAATAGGTTGTGTGGGAAAATTAACAAACCCACCAAGCGACGCTCACCACAAGAAGTTTGCATTCGAAGACGCTAAATATATATCCTTGTAGCCCAAAATGTTAGGTAGAAGGTCACTAGATTAGGAAGATTAGCATGCCGCACGAGATTGTTGCCTAATAGTACAGGGACCTAGATGAGACATTTCAACAAAAGTTTGCACTTGTACGCGGTCATTCATGGCCAGAGAAACAAGTTATAACTGCTACGATGTATAGAGATGTCGGACTATTTTTCTCCCATTGTCATAGTTAAATTCGTCACCCGGCAGATCGCCCTTACATCGATTGTCTAGATCGGCAGCCTTATATCGACCGAAGTCTAGACCATCCTTTTGTGCCATACAGTACATCCAGAAAATGGTGTCTTATATTGAGAAGTTACCCGGAATATCAATTTTCCCATATATTATGAACACAGAAGGTCACAAAACTACGTTATCGACGGCTACCCCTTTACCGGCATCCGTATTACATCGAATGAATTGAGCTGAAACGGCAACACCTCTTTTTGGAAACATTCTGCTAAGAGAGGACTAGATAGTCAGAATTGAGCGTTTCCTTGAGATGCGCGTATGACTTAAGACGCGGTGACAGAAATTGACCGTATGAAAAGTATCAAATTCAGTATGAAACTTTCTGACTAGCAATGAAACAGGATAAACGCGCGAAAATAAGACAAAATTCCTAGTCAATACGCTTTTTGGTGGGTTGTCTGGACGTCCGACGAGATAGGTAAATTACGTATCCGGGTGGTTTCTGTATGGTATTTGGACTCAGTATTTGACACGTTTAGGTGGGGATGAAACACGGCGAGTTAATAAAATCGGAGTGGACCCTCTCGATTCCTTGTTCCTTTCCCTAACAGACCTCATTTCTTTAATCTGTCGTGCATTGTCCACAAATCATTATTCGGCTGCTATTTTTCGAGCGAAGTCCGCTCAGTATAGTTCAGGATATCAAAGAGACCGATGTTCTGCAGAGTTGATGTCTTAGCGCCTGTGATAGTGGCCGCATAGTAGGCTATGAATAAGCTGGGCCGTGATCCATTGGTTCAAATGAAGAGGGCAGGCATGTCAGCTAAAAATGCCACGTCAACATGAGACTGAGGCCCAGGACGCAGCGTTAGAAAAGATCAACACCCAATCATGGAGTCAACTTCGAACGCCTACTTTATGCAGCTCATCTCGAAAAGGCTAGGTCTCAATAATGTGGAGCAGCTACGCGCCTTGATTTAAATGTCATATAAATCATAGCACCACCTCGGGAACATCTTGAAATGAGTCATCATCCCAGGACGTTAATCGCGAGGTCTACACCAAGAATCCGACTCTAAACAAGATGGACATTCAGGAACATACTGTGCATATTCTAGAGAAACCTTGCCGTACGGCTGTGAATTAAATTGAGTTTAGAGATAACGCTAACTTCTGACAGAAAACGGTGAAAAATACTATGGCCGCTCTTCGACCTTGGATGATGAACTTCCAGTATGGTAGTCTCTCCGCCCATATATTCCAACATTCTAATGCATTCAGGTCAAAAATGACTTCCCGCAAACCATCATGTGCGTTGAGTTTCCCATGCGTTTTAAGTGCTGTACCACTGATATTCCACGAGTAAAGGTTTACATCCACAGACGCGATTGTAAATTGGGTGACCAAGGAGCATGATAGCTTCTTCCCTCGTGAGTTTCGACTAGCTGTGTCAAGAAATCTCAATGGGACCTTCGGGTGTGAGTATTATGAAGACAGTAGCGGAAAAATTACGGCTCATGGTTAGTCTTTCTTTTATATGCCAGCTTCCAGGCCACACATTATGCTTACAGCCAGCAGACTCTTGGAGCCTTTTCAAAATCAAACGTGTATGGAAAAATCCTGGATCCTTCCGAATATACGATGAGTGGATCCAGCTCGTCATCTTTGTACGCCATGACTGGGCCAGGTCACACCAACTCGTGATATTCCTCGATTGCCCAGATTATCTTCGTTCCGAGTTATCGGTCCTCTCTCCAATGAAGCAAAATGATCCATATATCTGGCATGCTGTCTTGATTGACGAGGTAAAAAATATTTATGATCAAACCATCTGGGGTCTTCGAGGGGCAGTGTGGGATATTGAGAAGGTAAGTTGCCGCCGATTCCATATTGAAACGCGATGTTAGAATCACTAAGCGTGAGTTTTGCGGTTCCAGTATCAAAAAGAGCTGGGAAAGTTCCAGCCACAATTTCTCTTGCTTCACGACATAGCAAGACACATCAGTCACTCAAAAGAGATCTTGGACGTGGCACTGGACACCGTGGACAGTGCAATTCACGACTACTCCATGTTGAATGAACAACAACCTAATTCATCTTCTGAGAGCGCATGCAATTCTAGAAAAATTCAAAGGCAGTTGTACTTTGCGTCAAAAAGCATTCGTTCTACCAGATTTCGCTGTATTTCGCTCAGTGAACGACTCCAAAATGAGATCACTTTAGTGAGCATCATACAGAAGCGTACATAGAGTGCTCTGCAGCTAATACCACCGTAGGCATTCAACATTGTCTCTCAACGAGATAGCGAAGTATCAGTTCAGCTGGCAAAGCACTCGCTCAGTGACAACACAATGATGAAGACGGTGGCAATTGTAAGCATGGTTTACCTTCCGGGCACCTTCGTATCGGTAAGTTGGATTGAAGCAGGTTGTACTTCCCTCTTTATTCTCAGCTGCTTATTTGATTAAGGGGATTTTCGGCATGAACTTTTTTGAGTTTAACACAGCAAAGAAAAGTTTGAACGTGTCCAACGAGTTTTGGCTCTATTGGCTGGTCACCATTGCCCTAACACTCACCACAACCTGTCTTTGGGCGTTATGCTTGAATCGAGATGCCATTAAGCATTTTCTCAAGATGTTGACACTAGTGAGCAAGAAGCCTCAAGGTCGTTATTCTACCAACGCTGCGTGAGCCCCTGCTCCAGCAGGGGACCGATTAAACTATCTCCAAAAACTTTTGGATTGTCTGTACTTAATTCAGGTGTACACAAGATAGAGTGGATAGAGAGTAGCATATATGGACACCCTGGTTTTAGCTCTCTGAGGCAAATACCAGTTTCAAACAGATCTGTTCTATCCGATTGGAGTGATCGAAGGATGCGTTTATCAACAACCCAAAGCCCTAACGACAGCCCTGTTCTCAAACTACCTCATACATTGGCACCACCTTCTTCGAAATCTTGGACAATTTCTGAATATATTCTGCGAAACGCGCATTTCAGGCGATCACAGTTGCCTCCACATGAATGAACCTTTGTGTTTACCACCTACACACCGCCTACTAGACAGTGTAGACTGCCTGTTAGCCTAAATGTCCGATCGGTGAGTTTGATTTTTGCCGAAGGATACCTAATTAGCGCGATGGTAGAACAGTCTAGAAGGCAAATACGATGATCTGGTAACTTACTGCACACGGCCTAAACCGGAGCAGATGATTTTGGTTATTCATTAGGGTTTAGGAAATAATGAAAGAGTGCCCGCCTGAGCAGAGTGTGCATCAAGTGAACATTACAGATATTAAAAGGCTAGCCAAGATTGGTCGTTAAAGTCATTCCATTCATAAGGCCGCTAGAGCTAATGGGGAAACACCGCCCAATGGTAGTCCTGGCCAGAACATTGGAATCACGACTATTGATTAGTCCTATTCTTTGTTTTGGTTAGAAGACAATTCCGGAGTATGGGGTCTCCGTATGAATTCATATGCAAAGAAGATCTTCAATGAGATCACATCTCTAATAATAAATGGTGTACCTATAAAGCAAGCGGGAGGCTGGGAGTGGGTCCTAATATACGTGTTATCCCCTGCCACCTATTATTTTCCTTGGGCCTTGCCGCTTTTTCTTGGGTTTTCAGGTAGACTGTTTTTCATCGAATGCCCAGGTGAATATCTACGCATTCTGTACTATTCTCGAGGATGCCTAACGTGTTGTGTTACGTACTCGGAATAGTCATTGTACATGCACATATTTTCATCCCAACTGCACACCCGTAGAGTGTAGGACTACATGGAACTACATGCTCCGTACATACTCCGTACATACTCCGTACATGTAGACTCCATGGAATAACGTGGCTCTCTAGGTCCCACCTGTGGACATCTCGATCGGATCGAAATGTGATTGGACCAATGACAGTCGGAGGACAGCCGGGGGACAGCCGGGAGACCCACGGATCGACCCAAGAAGAAGCAACGAAAACAGAGGAGGCTGGCACCTTCCCTGATTGTTTAAGACCGTTTGTGTACTCCCCTGTCAAAATTCCTTTCCTCTTCTTTCTTCTTCCCCTTTTTCATATCACCACTCATCTTCATTGTTGCATAATAGTAGCGAGATTACTTATAATCTTTATTTGGCCCACCATGCGGTTCTTTCTTGGTGCAGCACTGGGCTTGCTGTCTTCCACGCTAGTTGCAGCCCAAACTTATACCGATTGTAATCCGACAGAGAAATGTAAGTCTCATCATCATCATTGTCGATAGGTCACTAACAGCCAACAGCATGTCCTGCTGATCCTGCATTTGGCCAATCTGACAAGACGTTCGATTTTACAAGTGGCTCAGCTGATGCTTTCAAGTCGACTGGAGCCGTCACATTTGACCAAACGAATGGTGCAACCTTCACCATTGCCAAACAGGGCGACGGCCCGCTGATTCAGTCCGGTTGGTACATCATGTTCGGCCGCGTGGAATTCACCATCAAGGCAGCACCAGGGACGGGAATTGTGAGCAGTGCAGTTCTGCAGTCCGACGATTTGGACGAGATTGACTGGGAGTGGCTAGGCGGAAACAACGCCCAAGTACAGACCAATTACTTCGGTAAAGGAGACACAAGTTCATTCAGCCGTGGCGCCTACCACGAAAACTCCGGAAACCATGACGACTTCCACACTTACTCCGTCGACTGGACCAGCAGCCAAATTGTGTGGGCGATTGATGGCAAGACTGTTCGTGTGCTCACTCCCGAGACGGCAGAAACCAACCAGTACCCACAGAGCCCGATGATGATCAAGGTCGGTGTGTGGGCTGGAGGTGATGCGAACAATGCCAAGGGCACTATTGGTGAGTGGGACTGGTCTGCAAATTACTATTGTTGTCCTTGCTAACATCTTGTATTTGTGTAGATTGGGCTGGTGGTCAAACAGACTATAGCCAAGGTCCTTTTAAGATGTACATGAAGTCAATGACCGTGACTGATTACTCCACCGGAACTTCGTACAGATATGGCGATACAAGTGGCTCATGGCAGTCAATCGTCGCAGAAGGAGGCAAAGTCAATGGCAATCAAGGCGCCGAGCCCACGTCGACTGAGTCCGCACCTGCAATTACTGCAACCATCGACAGCGTCCCGGTCCCCTGGAGTGGAACCCACAAAGAAACATCAAGTTGGGTCACCCCAAATGTCTGGCCCTGGGTGGCATCCGGCTCTCCTACGGCCTTGTCGACAGGATATCAGTATGACTGGGAGTCTAGCTCCGGCCAGAACAAGCCAATGAGTGAGAGAAATCCCCCCGAATCCTTCAGTTAGATTCGTCTGTTAATATCGAGTCTTTCCCCCACAGTCTACCTTCCACTTTATGTCAGCAGCATTGCCTTTTTCTTCGGCTGCGTTTTCCCGCTTTGGCGTTGAGATTTAGGGAGGAACCCCGACTAGATTGATGAGCAGAATCGCATGTTCGACTGAACCCACCACTGCCCTTACTTCTTCCAATACACTCACTTGAGAGGCTGCAGCGGCTTTCGGTCCTCGCATTCCTCCATCGATGGGCAGTGCGAATATCCAGGTCCTGCAACGGCAGGTGTCTTGTGTGCTTCTTTGGTCGTGTTATTGCATTGCATTAAACGCATCCGCGTTTGTATTATTATGACTTCATCGGACCCGGCGTTGGTTTATTTTTATTGGACATGACACATGAGCGATGACTTTAGCGGCTCACACAACAACCGCAGCATTTGGGCGCTTAGAGGCAGCTTATATTCTTGTTTACACTTTACTTTTATCATTCATAGATGCCAAACTGGAACATCCAATTGATGGGACACGCGTGCCAGACATACATATTGAGTTCTCATGAATTCGCAACTCATTGAAATACCCATAGTCTGGCCATTAATCCGAAGTCCTATTTTCTATATCAATATCTTTCCTGTCTACTCCGTGCACTCAAACGGCATTATCAATTTTACCTACGTGGATCTCGAAATCACGGAGTGAAAATATAATGAGATGCAAGTTACAAGATCCAGAATAGACTTGGACAAAGGTTCCCGTGCCAAAATAGGAATAGCTCTCTTGGTTTGGTACACTCTATCTTGACAGGATCATGACAGGGAGAGACTAAAGCAGACAAGTAAAAGATCTTGAGATACACAAATGTAAATATTTCAAATAAGCATAGGAACACATATATTAGGATACCAAGAAGATCAAGTATATAAAAAAGCTACTATATAAGAAGAGGGAGGGGGATGGCCATAATACTCCTACACATATTGCACAGAATAGGACTAGGAAGAAATTGTGATCCATGGATCCTTTACGGAGCCATCTACACCTGAAGACTTCTTGCTTTTAAAACTCCATTCTCCATGTCTCCCTTTTCCAACAACTGATCCAACACCATCGATCTAGTACCATCACCTCCTAACATGAGCGACGAAAGCGTTATCTTCACTACCCACCGAGCTTTGGCTCTTCCAGAAATCGTGTGTGAGATCCTCCGTTGGATCGACAAGGACAATGCAATCTGGCACCGCACACGTCGCTTATTGAGTTGTGCCTTAGTAAATAAGACATGGTGCCATGATGCAATACGTATCTTATGGAGAAATATGGAAGTAGATGGAGAACCCCTCAACGATGTCATGATAAAGATCTCCCCCGACCGCCGCCAGACTTATGCCAACCTTATAAAGAGCGCAACCATAACAACATATAGCCGGGAGACTGAACTAATGGTACAGCCAGCTTTGGAAAATGTGGTCTTCCCACAGTTACACACTTTGCGTCTTGTTCTCGTCTTTTACGACTTGGACATCGAAGGGAGTATCCGCATCCCAACTTTGAACATGCCAAATCTTCAGACCCTTCATGTCGGCCGTCCGGCTGGGCCAATATTTTTATACCCTGACCAATGGGATAATCTCACTGACCGGATTCTGGTTTGTCTCACTGGCCATCACCTGGGCATCTGCTTGCTGCACCACACGACTAACCGGTACTTTTGCATATATAGAAGCTCTTCCCGTGTTTATTGAATGTTCGAATTGAGATACCAACTATCCTTTATATTGCAGGATTTGAGGCTCTATCTGAAAATCTGCCAAACTTGAAATCCATCGAGTTTGAGGATATCTTGTCCCTGTCGGACACGGAAAGTAGTGTGGAGGATACCAGTGAGGATTCTACCGATTACGATGATACGGATGACGAGGATTTAGATGATGAGAGTACAGAATAATGAGGGAGCTCATGCAACTTCTCATCTCTATATTCTCTTGATAGTAGTCATATTGTGTTTGCTTGGGGGTTTGTTTTACATTACTTTTGCTCGAACTTAGCTTGCTTTTTGGAGTTCACTTTATCCTCCTTTGCTTTCTGGGGTCTAATACGAAGGAAGACGTTAAGTGCATGATGGATGTGATGGATACAAAGTGCAGGCTACGGTGTTTCAGGAGAACCTAGATATACAATACTATGTGACCATCTGCCACTTTCTTCTCTACCCTTTATCTTTCAAGCTGTTTCACTGAGGTTTGTTCAACAGTACCATAGCAGCCCCCGCTTATGCTTTTCTTGAAACGTCTTGTTCATGCAATTGAATGCCTAAACCACGGCCGACGAAGCGACGAAACTCAGTTGACACAGGGAAAAAAATTTACGTTGCAAAACTACTACGAACTATTTGATGAGTAGACCTAGAAGTCAATACGAGGAGGGCGTGCTACTCATGAGAATTCCACTGGATTTCCCCCTAAGCCACTGGACTCGATTAGAAGGGCAGTGGTGATTACGGTGTCTTTGTAGGTAAACACGACCCCGAGTTTGTCAATTCCATGTGTTATCTGCGACGAATGATTCAACACCTGTAAGCATCTACTACAAGAATAGTTAGCCGCTCATGCAGCCTTGTTAACTCTTTGTCTTTTGGTAGTCTTCTCAGATATTATTTGTTCCCTTTATTAGCGCTATAGCTAGTGAAATACGAAGAATTAGCCGCAAAATATAGAATTTAAGCGGTAAAAACAGCCTAGCATGTATAACATTTGATGTAGTATAAATTAAGGCGAGGACAAGCGGGTACTCGGTACATCATGAAGAAGTCAAGTGACCAATATGAACCTTGGAAGCAGTGTCCACCATCCATGGATGGATCACCGTCTTATGTCATCTGTGAGCTTGTTCCACGGGTCCACTTGACTTTTTGATTATTCAACATCCCGACTGCTCGGGCCAAATATATAATCATATTCGCCTCCAAATTTGTCACGCTTCTCACAGATCTCTAGGCTGCATATTTTCGACACAAGTCGAGACAATATCTTCTCATATATTAATTCCGGATAATGGGCGAAGAAATTGCTAAACCAAGTGGTCGCAAACGCGGTCGTCCTCGAACTGTGACTGACGATCAAGAAGTACCGGAGGTGGGTCGGATTCCAACTCTCCAAGTGCTCGTTCTTATACTCATTTATTTCTAGAGACGTCGTAAACAACTCCGCCTCGCACAGCAGGCATATCGCAAACGAAAGGAGACCACGATCGGTAACCTGCAAACTCGCGTACACGAATTAGAAACCGGCATCGAGGATATCAGCCACTCTTTCCTCTCCTTCAGTAATCTTCTTATAGAAGAGCAACTTCTTCCACAATATCCGCATATCGCGTTGGCCCTACAAAACATAACTCAGCAATGCGTGTCACTTGCGAAGGCCGGGAGCGATGAACCGACTGAGGCCCTTCCCCTCGTTCGCGCCACAAAGGAGTCCCGAGTCACAAATAATAATACAGCCCAGACACCAGTTCTGGATAACGCATGCTCAGAAACTTCAACAGATGCCGAGGATATAATACCATCAGCTGCCACGAGCTGGCCCAGCCCTCCTACTCCACCACCTCAAGGTTCACCAATTCTGCCATTTGACCTCGTGTCATCTACTATTCAATTCCCTGATATCACTCCGCCATTATCGAACTCCTCACCACTAGATCTACAATCTAGTAATATAACGCCTGGCAGGCAGTGGAATATCGCACAGCGTATAGTCCGGGCTTGCTGTCAGAACGGATACCGCCTTCTTGTCGACAATCCACACCAATCCACAATCCAGCATATCTTTGGGTCTATTCCCAGTCTGTCAGAACGCCATAAGCTGGTATCAGGCTTTTACGCTGTCCTACAAGATAAGACCGGTGACTTGATAGATCGCAAGACTAGTGTGTTTCACGGCCTGCGGACCAGTATGAACATATATTCGGGTGAACAACTCCAGGTCTCATCTAGAACATGGCAAATTGTGCTTGAATCGGCTTCTGGTGAGTGGCTGGATGCCATCGGAGTGCAAAGATATCTGCGCGACAAGAGAGCGATCGTTGAGAACTTTCGTGATTCCTCTGGCCGTTTTGAGTATTCAGTCTCGTCATCACTTGATGTAACGACATTCATTAAATGTGAGTTCTTGGGAACTGAATGCCTTGAAGAAGCCTACTAACACCACTGTAGTCCTCTCAAAGGAAGCCATATGCGTTGGGAATGGTCCGGCATTCCGACGGCAGGGCGTTGAAAAAGCCCTTCGTCTGGCAACAATAAGTTTGCCCTGGGATTTCGATAATCTTTGTGATTTATAGCACCCATCTCTACCTGTAAATATATAATACACACACGGCACACAGGGCATGTGGCGTGGCAATTCAAACAATTGACAGTTGATCGTACCCCATTTGGTTGTACTAGCAGCGACTGCTCCAAGTTTCCAAAACAATGTCCCACCTGTTCACTCAATTCCCACTAGTGCAATCCTTCACCTTGCATGTTACAATTTCATTGGGGTGAACTTGAAAAAAATTCTCATTGTTTCTATTAGGAAAGAAGCCGCATTGTCGTGGTCCCTAATATGTACTGTTGCGTCCGCGCAAGTGCCAACTCAGAATACTGATCTCATGCATATTCCCATCTCCCATCTCTCATCGCAACTCTGTATGACACGCAAGCGATATCGTATCTTTACGCCCTTCGGTTGGCATGTGGATCTCCGGTTAGCACCGCAAGACTCCATGAATTGTCATTGGCTCGGCGTGACTCACCTGTGTTTTAAGGATCAGACCTCTCGATGTTTTGAAGCAATGACACATTTATCATAGAGCTAACTTGAGTCATTACGCTTTGGTTTGTGCTTAAATTGACTTCTTCCGCCGAAGTTGCCGAACTTATCCTATCATACTCTGTACTAGTATTTCCAAGGTTTCTTGCATTACCCCGACATCATGACCGCGACAAGTCAATCAACTCCCTTTGGCAAGTCGATGCTGAAGCATTGGATGTTTGATCCCGCCTACAAGAACCTTAACCATGGTTCATTTGGTGCCCATCCGATTCCCGTTAAAGATGCACAGCGTGCCTTCATGGATAGCGCCGATGCGCGGCCAGATCCATACATCCGCCGATATCATTCAGAATATCTAGACGAAGCTCGTCAGGCTGTCGCAAAGGTTCTCAATGCTCAGCGAGATGAGTGTGTGTTTGTCAAAAATGCGACTACAGGCGTGGCGACAGTACTGTACAACTTGGCTTTCCAACCGGGTGAGGCACTCATTTATTTTGAGCCTGTCTACGGTGCTGTTGAGAAGGGCGTTGTCTCGCTACAAGAGCATAACTCTTTCCAATCCCGAAAAGTGTCATTCCAGTTTCCCATTACCGAAGACGAGCTAGAACGCCGTTTCCGCGAGGTGATTCGTCAAACTCGTAAAGAGGGACTCAAGGTCCGAGCCAGCGTTTTCGATGCCATCGTCAGTAACCCAGGTGTGCGGTTCCCCTTTGAACGGATTGCTGCAATTTGTCGTGAAGAGGGTATCTTGAGCGTCATCGATGCTGCGCATGGCATTGGAAATATCCACCTTGATATGGCGGAGCTACAGCCTGACTTCTTCGTATCAAACTGTCACAAGTATGAACTATCCCTCATTATCCCACCCCTTCGAATAACCTAGGCAACCATCGAATATTGACACAGCTTCATAAAGATGGCTCTACACACCCCGCAGCTGTGCAATCCTCTATACACCCCGACGTAACCAGCATCTACTCCGCACCACTATGCCAACATCTTGGGGATTTATCCCAGCACCGGAGTCTCCCGAAACCATGGCCTCTGTGCTTGAAGACGCCAACGCCCCCGTCACAAAGACTGCCTTCGAGAGACTTTTTGAGTTCGTCGCCACCAGTGATGACTCCGCGTACATTTGCGTCCCAGCAGCGCTGAAATTCCGCGCCGAAGTCTGCGGAGGCGAGGATGCTATTATTGCCTACACCCACCGTATTGCAAATGAAGGCGCAGACGCTGTTGCCGCCGCTCTCGGTACTGATGTCATGCAAGAGCCTGATCTGAAGCCTGGCCAGGAGAGCCGTATGCGCCAGTGTGCTATGACTACGGTCCGGCTGCCTATTGCTGTTGCTCCTGCCGGAAAGGAAGCTGACTCTTTCGATTATACCCCTTTGGCTGTGTTGTCCGAGGAAGAAGCCCCCAATGCATTTTCTTGGATTCAGACACAGCTGCTGGACAAGCATAACACTTTCCTGCCAGTTTTCCGCCATGGACCTTGGCTATGGATTCGCCTGAGTGGTCAGACTTACTTGGAGATAAGTGATTTTGAATCTATTGGGGTTGTCTTGCGCGATCTTTGTGAACAGGTTGCGAAGGAGTTCAAGGCTTGATCTAGTTGTCTATATTTGGCACGTAGCAATAATTGCAAATAATCACTACATTCGTACCAGGCTTACATTAGGACTAGAAGTAATTAGTAGGTCTCTAGAGCTGTCTAGGGAAGGCCTGATATTTTTCAGCTTTATGCTCCGGGGCTTGCATCCTATCTTTGTCACTCATCGAGGGATTCGAAAAGATAAAAGAGAATTCCAGACATATGATGAGCTTTGCTTTTGATGGGGAATGATTGAACATTTGCTTTATAGGCACTAAATGCCACACGTATTGCTCAAACAGCTTGATCCTTCCCGAGAACTAATGGCAAAATATGTTGTCTTTTTTCTCTTATATCACGTCAGAAGCGGGGTGTGCTTGTTGTCTATATATATCATTCTCAGTCCCTAAGATCGTCTCAATTGATCTATTTGGTGCCCACTAGAACTATCATGTCTGTCGCAAAGGAATTCGAAGAAGCCAATGCCAATTATGCCGCATCCTTCACCAAGGGTGGCCTGCAGCTACCCCCACAGCGGTTCGTTGATAGCTCTCGTTCTAGTTCCAACTTTTATTACCAACATCCTGCAAAAGACACATCTGACTCTATTTCTTCGTTTTCAGAAAGGTGGCTGTGGTAGCCTGCATGGACGCACGTCTTGGTACCAATACTCCGAAGTACTGCTGATATAAGAGAATGATGCTCACACCTACTATGTATTGTATAGATCCTGCCCGCGTCCTCGGTCTTGAAGAAGGCGATGCCCATGTAATCCGCAATGCCGGTGGCAGAGCCTCAGATGCACTGCGCAGTATTATCATTTCGCAGCAGCTACTCGGCACCCGCGAGATCGTTATCGTGCACCATGTACGCAACCCCTGTAAATAATTGAGACTAAGCTATCAATTGTTGACTATCTTCAGACAAACTGTGGAATGCTCACATTCACCAACGAGGGAATCAGAGACAAGATCCGTGCGGATCTACACCAGAATGTTGAGCACATTGCGTTCCTACCCTTCGTGGATCTCGAGCAGAGTGTTCGGGATGATATTAAGGTATTGAAGGATAGCCCTCTTGTCCTGGATGTTCCAATCACGGGGTATTTCTATGAAGTTGAGACCGGGAAGATTATTCAAGTTAAAGAGGATCAGTAGAGGACGCTATCAATATCGCAGTATGGGGAGACTCGATGCTGAGGGATATAATATATACCAATTTTGAATGTGACCGAATAGTTTTACTACTAGAACCTACGTGTAAGCATGGATGAGATGAATTTTGGTTCATGTACGATTGGCAAGTATGTAGCATACCACCACCCTACGGGTGGCTTAAAAAGAGAGAGAAGGGGGGGGGGGGGAGAGAGAGAGTAGAGAACAAAGATATAACGCCCGCCCTCGGATGCTTCGACAAAAAAAAAGAAATCGCAATGGCCAATGAATCAGATCCCACACGAAATATACATAGGTGGTTATACTCCAACATACACCCCTTTCGGCTCTCACGGCCTTTGCAGGCCACGCCAATCCAAAACGGGCGTTTAACGTCTTCTAGTTCCCTTGATCACCAAACTACCAACCACACCCGCGACGAGAGCCAAGCCACCCACAATCGCGACACCCACCAGGCCCTCCTTGGCGACTTTATCATCGATGAGAGACCCGAGACTGGCAGCTTGGAGGTTTGCGGGCTCCTTCTCCAGGAGCAAATCGTTGTATCGGCGGGCTTCGCCGTAGTTCCCTAGCTTGAAGTTGCCGAGGGCCAGATAATAGAGGCATTCGCGTCGCCGCTCCGGAGCTCCACGGAAGATCTCTGAAAGCAGGCGAACACCCTCTTGCTGTTCGGAACGGATGTTGGATTTGATCAGGCCCTGTAGTAAATACCACCCCCGCATAGGCGGGGAGGACCGGTTAGCACGGGCACACCTGATCAAGGCTGGAAAATCCATACCCATGCGTAGTTGAACTTTGTCTGTATTCCGACATAGTCGCCTTCTTTCTCGTATTGCGCTCTCAGGACCTGTAGTTCGGCGGGTTTCAAGGGACTGTGTCAGTGATAGTCAAGTTAGTTCTTCCGGTTCCGAGATCTTCTTTGACTGATGTTTTTGCGGAAAACAAACCTTTCTGCGTCGGCGGCATCTGGAGGGGCAAAGCAAGTTAGTTTTCAAGTATTAGGCATCAGTCGGAACAAGCAACCTACATGGAAGGTTGGACATGGCGAGATAAGGAGTTGGTGGTCTTTAGACGGAGTAATGTTGATCAGAATAAGAGTTCTAATGATTCAATCACCGTTTGTCAAAAGTAAGAGTCTTGGTTGCGTTGAGCGAGAAGGCAAAAGCGAGAATGGAGAAATCACAGACACAACGTCACTTTGCGGAGGAGCAACATATGTGGCGGTGCTGTGGCTGTTGCTGCCGCAACAAATCCAAAACAACCGACTTTCCATCTCGACATCTGTAACTGCCAACACCATGTTGCTCGACGAGGACCCTGGAACTGTATGTACTACTCTCATTGCTCATATCTTACGCACGACGAATTTACTAACAGTTTCAGCTCATCCACCACACGATCGGCAACTTTAACATCCACCCCGATAAACAAGCCGTCACACGCATCAATGACTCGCTCTCAGCACTACAGCAATCGCGCGACCTGCGCATTCGTGAGGCCGAATCGGCCATGCGAAAACTTTCACGCCACTTGAATTCCCTATCTACACAGCATGAAGAGGCCGTGGCCGTGCACGACTCGGGCAAACATGCGGCGGAGATTGTGGAGTTGGACACCAAAAAGTTTCGCATCGCCAAGGCTGCATCGGAGTTGGAGATTGAAAGTGAGCGCCTGGAGAGCGAGCTGGAGATGCTCAAGGAAAGACTAGTCGACCTAGAGTCCCAGGGTCTTGAGGGCGACGAAACAACGCGGCGCGAGCGTGAGGCTGATGATGCGACAATGTGCGTGCCTGTGCCCTTGTCTTGGATTGGGACTCTTGCTAACATACATTTAGTCTGCGGCTCAAGATCTTCCGTTCTCTCGGTGTTGATATCGAGCCCGATGAGGCAGGCAATTTCAACCGAGCGGTCATTCGCAATAGCCGCAAGGGCGATGTTCATGTTGTCAATATCGACCCGAAATTCTCCCGCTTCTTCTACGCAAACTACTTTTGGTCAACGATGCAAGGATAATGATGAGGGATGGTTTTCTAGTTGTCTGTGCTCTCTGGCGTTTTTTTTGGAGGCTGGAAGCCGTGTCTTCCTATCGCTGTTGGTGTTTCTATACCCTTGGATTATCTTCTTCATAAGTCATACAATTCTTCTTCATATATTCCAGCCATATGGCTACCTGGACATATCACTTTTTTCGGGTAGTAGACCGTTCACTCGGATGTTGGCTGCTGTTGTAGCCGCTCTTGTAAAGCTTGGATGACCTTCTTCCGGTCTGCGTCCAATATTGTCCCATCAAGTAATTGAGAAGAGACGTCATGCGGTAGGACTCTTTCTGCAGTATCGAGAAGCTCCCCCTTTTGGATCTCCGACAATTCCATACCCCAGGATGCGACCCATTTATCGGCGAACTCGATAAGCTTTTGCTCTACCTGGTCCATATCGGGGATATCACATCCATCCCAGGTCAATAGCATTTCTTTTGTAACTGAGCCGGATTCGGGGTCTTCTGTGGTCCCATATCGTGTCTCCACGCCCAGAGGGCCAATCCCAAGTTCCTCTGCACGGGCATTCCAAAGTGCCTGCTTCAAGGTTCCGTCCCGCTCGATCATCATCCAGAACAACGGATATGTACTCCGAGCTAACGTATCACGGACACCTTTGGTTGCCTCTCGCGGGCTCACCAGCACACCAACCGTTTCGCGCGTGCGCCACCCGACAGGTGCCTGGCGAAAGGTTCCTTCTAGCTCGCGGACGACATTAGGACCCACTTTGGCCTTCAGCGATTTACATTGTACCAGTACACGGAGTGCGCACTCTCTCTCCCGCTCCGGAAGATGCCAAGTGCCAACGAGATCGATGCCGGCGTCGTCGCGACCGCCGATACGGTCGAGGCTTAACGCATAACGACGTAGGGTCTGGAGAACGGTATACTCGTAGTGTGTACCGACATGTACCGTACTCGTCTCTGGAAGGGAAATATGCTCCGCGTAGGAGAGAAATGTCGTCAGGTCATTATGGTGTTGTGAGGGCGGAGATGGGGCCGAGGGGAGTTTCAAGAGCCGCCGAGTGAACGGTGTCAGATCATGATGAACCTGGGAGCTTGAAAAGCAGCGATAGATATATGTTCTGAGTTTCAAGTGAGAGTACCCGGCAGCAAGGCCATGGCGTAGTCGCAATAGGCGCATTGAGTGATGTGAGGAAGAAAAGGCCGTCTCACCGCATTGGAGCTTCTCTCCGCATCTGCTCCGCTTCTTTCGCTCCACCAGGCATTCTACTTCTTTCTTGAACCACTCTAAGCTTCCTTCATTTTCTCTTTGAGTCGCTACCATGGCTGACATCCTCACACAGCTGCAGACTTGTCTGGATCAGGTAGAACCCGCTCCGCAAACTCTATATTAAAACCTTTGCTCACCATACGGACATGATAGCTTGCAACACAATTCTACGCAACCCTTGGCTATCTCACAACATACCACGACAATGCCCCTACGACACCACCGCCGAATGTCCCCGATGCAGTACCGGCCCTAGCCAAGATTACTAAGAACTCGTCAGCACCGCCAGTCCCAGCAGCTATCGCAAACAAAGTGGGGGGTGCAGCGGCCGTTGCAGGAAATGCATCACCCCCGCATGCGCCTCCTCAACAACCCGGAGCTGCGCCAGGGACAGCAGTAGAAGCTGGCGATCCCAATCTTCCTCCCGCGCCGGACTCACCCAGAACATTTGCGAGTCGGCAGCGGGAGCTTGCGCGCGATCTCATTATCAAGGAACAGCAAATCGAGTACCTCATCTCTGTGCTTCCTGGGATCGGCACCTCTGAGGCTGAGCAAGAGAGCAGAATCCGAGAA